TATGAGGTTGTGAAAATGCAAAAATTCTGATGTCACATGGATTAACATTCTGATGCTGTCAAGTTGCTAAGTATTTGTGTGATGTCATCACACACCTCATAAAGGTTTATTAATATCACAGTTTTCAACACCCTTTTCAGTTGTTATCTTACTTTTGTGTTCAATATTGCTTGACTGGGTTATCAGATCCAGCACCTTGGTGGGGTGGTTTGTTGGGTTGTCTCCCAATGCCGGAGTTCAGCCCAGAACATGCTTCTTTGGCATGTTCTTCCCATGTCGGCTTGCGTAAATTGCTCCTCCGTGTGTGTCACCTCTGCACTGAGAAGTCAGTCAGTCCATAGTACTGCTTGTAGTATCGCACCCCTCCAAGCATAAAGCTGAAAATAAATATAATTATTGGAGCATTACATAGTCTTTAATGGCACACCATTAAATACAGTACGTTCACACCTTGTTAAACAAGCACTTTGTTTACAAGTACTTGCTAAAACAAGTGACATATATATATATAGCTAGTTTTTAGACAAGTGAGTTTAAATCCCTGCTAATAGGAGTGCCGATCACATAGTTTGTTCTTTTAGTTTTAGTTTTCACCCCTCTGGGCTGGGACTGGGTAAAACCTGGAGTAAAACCTGGAGTGGCGGAATGTCAAAACACCGGCAAAAAATTAACAGATTTTGGTTAAAACAATAACATCCAGTCTGGTTTTGTACTTTTCTATATTGTTTTCTTAAAATACAATATAAACCTGTCACAATGCTAACAAATTACATTCAGTATGTTGAGTATGAAAGATTAATGCAATCAGTAATCAGATTACTGATTATTAAGAGGTTCCACACAGAATAACTAGGCTCTGGGACCCATCCCTCCATAGGGACAAGACATCCCTATTTATTGAAATACTCATCTGTAGGCTGATACTACACCCAACACTATCACTGTTGGTTAACTGGTTCTCTGTTATTCTTACATGTGACTCTGTTCACCCTTGCAGTCATTGCTCAGTTCAGCTATGGTGTTCATCCACTCTGCAGTAGCCAGCTCCTGTTTCCCAATGCTTTTGGCAACTTGATACAACCCAGGGCTCTGTAACCCTCTGCCCCACAAACAAAACAGTGATTGCAAGTTGTGAATCAACTTTGGTGAAATTTGGTGAATTTGAGCAAAGCCTCCACCTCTCCCTCTGCTGGGCTGGTAAATTGCCTGCAGTGCCTGTAGATAAATGCCTTGACGGTTGTGAATGCTATAGAGATGTACTTGGCAGAACTGTGTCTCCATCTTTATTTATTTCTATTTACATTAAATTAGTGTCTCACGAAAACTACTACAAACTAATATAAACTAATACAATTTCATGAAAATATCTGAACTGTAATGCTGTATGTTCCCCAGAGAGAAAAGGTGATAATACCTGTGTCCCTTCTCATCTATTTGTGAACACAGATTGCACAATGCCTGTAGTTGCATTGGGTTGCCTGGGCAACGAAACACTACTCATCTAGGTTCCATGATGCCTTGTGGTGTCACTCTTCAGAAGAGTGTAAGTCCAGTAAGTTCCAGTCTAGGTCTGTATTGCAACTGTGCTTTGCAAAGCTACCCAGTGCATACAGTTGGTGAATTTCACCATCTGGAAGGCACAAAAAAGCAGCAACAACTCTATTTCCATGTTGTGGGCGATGTGCTTGAAACTCAATGAGCACCTTTAAACTAGTCAGTGACAGCTACAGCATATGAACAATTAAGAACACTTGGTCAAGCTTACATTGATCTGCAGCTATGTGTGCAACAGAAACTGGCTTTTGCAAAGCCTGATCCATGTTGGGCATCATCTCAGAGAACAAGAGCTAATATTTTATAAGAATGGTGAACAGGATGACATTTTATATCAGTGACATTTTTCTCCCAATCTACAAGGCAGTCTGAATTTCTTCACAAACTGTGAAGCGAAGCAGAAAGGCTCTGACTGAATGTTTTGAAAGTGAGGTGTAAAATCTTGCAGTTTGAAATGCTACTGCTCCTATTCCTTAGCCTAAGGGTTTCTGATTAGGCTTAATGGTGTAAAGTAGAAAATATCTAAACAGTGACTTTTTTAAAGTAACAGAGCTATTGTTTAACCTGCTTCAAGCCAAGCTGAATGATATTGTATTTTTTATTCCACTGATTTGCCAAAGAGCTGGGTAATTTTGGAAAGAGGTTTTGGAGTTCAGTATACATTAAATCAAGGTAGGAAAGTGTGAGACAAAAAAGTGCAGATGACAAAACATGCAAGTACCTATTTTTGAAATAATTGAGAACATCACTGAACAGTTCACTGTTAGATCAAAGAAGTGTAAAACGAGAACTAAATCCAAAAAGGTTTACAGAATTCCAAACAGTTCCTCCATGATGCAATGAAATCTCAGGAAGCATCATATCCCACCTTTGTGACCGCAGCTGGCTCCGCGAAAAACTGCATGATATATACAACTCTAGTCTGCAAAGGAAAGAGTTTGACCAGCACAAAACAATGCACAGCTGGTCTTCCAAAATAGCTTCTCTGAAGTTAACTAACAACCTTAATACTCATGATCCCCTACTGTATGATTACAATCAGAAGATTTTTTTCAACTTTGAAGCAAACAAAACTCATCACATGTAATGCTCAGGACTGCGAAAGCTCTTCAGGATCAGCTCTAAGGACAACCGAAAAGGAGCTGCACAGCTGCACAGCACAGTTTCTAGAGTTTAATCACTGAGAAGCTCCCTAAAAAAGATAAATGAATGTATTCTCAATTGCAATTGAAGTATAGTAACAGATTCATAATATTTTATTGCATTTTTTCATTTCTCCTTTTCTTGGTATTGTGAAATACTCAGGGTATGCCAGTTGAAGACACACTTGTAAGAAGTAAGAATAGTATTTGTCAGACACATTACAGTTAGACTCTAATTGGTGTAAAACAATTGTACTTGTTAGACAGGATCAGCAGCAGAAACGTCTGCTGTTCCCCCCTTTCCAAGAGAAGAATGAGCAAGGCGTTGTGCAATTGGATGCCATTGCTAGTGAGAAAAATAAAAGAAAAGGAATCAGCAATGTCAGCATGCACAGGCCAAAAATTACTCAATAACATAGTCACGTAATAGGAGGATGGGGGGCTGCGGGGAGACTACTGTATAAAGGTATTCAGAGGTTTAGAGTTGTAAAAGATCATCCAGGAAGAGGATGGAAGGTAATAGGTTAGAAGTGTATTGATATAGATGGTTACCATTCAGCAAGCAGAGGCTGAGCATCACAACATGAAAAACATGACTAAATATACAAGGACAAATACACATGTTGTACTAACTCAACAAACAATAAGAAAACACTCTAGCGCATAAAAGTTCTAAAAAAAGTTATTTTTAGAGCGCATCATTTCTATTGTCACCTTTTCAACAACGTTTCAACAAACGTTTTTATCTCTATGAGTCCCAATGGAGATCTAACTGTACCAGGGACGTCAAAAAGAGGATCATGCATACCATTTCTTCTAGGACTGTTTACAACCCAGACAGGCCCCTCCTCATTCATGAGCCATTATGTCACTCAGAAGGTTGTGATGGGTGACACCACAAGGCATCGTGTAAAGCCTCCGGACTAGTAAATCTTCTGCTGGCTGTGCCTTCTGGACAGGAATCATCATTAACGTTACCTAACAACAGCATCGGGACTTTGCTTGTGCACAAAGGAAAAAATTAAAAGATAAAGAAGATTTCCATTTCCATCAGATTTCCTCATTTCCATCATTCTCAACAGCTGGAAATGAGGAAAAGAAGCAGCTGTAAAATACTACGCAAAAACTAAAATACAGGATCATGTAGCTTAATTCTATGTCTATTACGGAGTTCGACTATTTGTACTGTTATCGGTCTTATCCTTATCTTATACGCCACTGACTTTGTCATTTTCTGTGTTGTCTTGAGCAAAGAACCTACATGTATGTACTTTACAGTGTTGCTACGACAGGTGTAGTAGCCATACGGCTCAAAGTAGAAACACCGGTGAGAAACACGGCTGGAAAACGGTGATGTGTACCGGTGTCGAATAGTATTCCAATTCGACCAAAATTGTTTCTGTTGTGATAACGATCCTTATTTAATAAATGTACACTAAAGTGATATTCTTCTTTTCAGAAGATGTCGCTGGGGGTTATGTTGCATTAGACAAGGTGAATCTTTCCCCCTTCTATAGGGGTATGTAAAGGTTCTGATAAACGTCACACTAAAGTTAAATTATACCGTATTTGTGGTTAATATTCATGTGGGGGCGATTGTTTTTTGACGGCTTTTCAACACTAAAGGTAGAAAATAAATAACATTTTTGTTTAAAAATTAAGCTTTTCTTTTAAAATATTTTCTTGTTACAACTTAATGTTTCAAATTAAGATTTTAAATTAAGATTCAATTTCCGATTAAAAATCTTAATTAGGAGTGAAAAATAAACTTAATTTAACATACATATTCTGAAGATTCAAAATGTGTTAAGCAACCTAATGTCTGAGCTTCTAAATTATTTTTAATTGTTCAAAAACATGTCATAAAAACTTTTAAATTCTAAGTCGGATGGAATGGGCTTCGGATAGTTTCTCAGTCGCACAAGAAGTTCCGATATGACTACATTTCCCAATTACATCAGAGAAAGGGCACGTCAGAGAAGTAGAAAAATCACCCCTCCCCCATGTGTAACAATTTTCTCTGTTGAGCTAGAGCATCTTGGGATTTGTAGTACTTAAAATGAGCAAATTATGTATTTGTGCTATTGAGGTGTATTTCAAGTTGAATGTTCTTAAAATTATGGTTTTGTTTATATGATGCTTTATTGATACGACACTATACAGAAATAATAAACCTTAAGATTTAATCAAATTTGCTTCAATGTGTTTTTACCTAAAACTACATTAACCACATGCCCCGAGAGACCAGCAGGCGCGCACACTCACTACGATGTGAATGTTCAACTCCCCCCCCCTCCTCCCTAGTCCAATGTAAGATGGTGGCTAGAAGGTGCTGCTGCAACATACAGAGAGGCTGAAAGAAAAGGCAAGGCATTTGCTCAACAAATCAAATCCAAACTGAACAAAAAAAAAAACGCAGAAAGAATTCAAGGTGCCTGCTAACACAATTCTGGGCAGTTCAGAAAGATAATCAATCCCCGCCCCATTTGATCTGAATATACCTTTGGAGGAGTCTCAGAGAGCCATAGAGAGACAGGGTGAGTATCCCACAAACTATCACCATAAACTAGGATTCTGGGATAGGCTAGTGGAAGATATGTATATGTTTCTATAAAAATCCATCTTTCAGTAGATTCCCACCCTTTCTCTTTGGCTCCTAGTTATGGGAAGGAAGCAGCGTCAATGTCTGTGTGGAAGTGTCTTCTGTGTTGGGATCCGATTGGAGGGAGAGTCCGCAGGCTTTGCCGGGGCTGTACAGGCCGCACTGCTGCGAGTGCAAAACGCCTCTTGTGTTTTTCACTTTAGATATTTTGCTACACCCTTGCTTTAAAAGAGGCACTGTGCCGCAACGCATCATAATCGGGTTGTACATGAAATGAAATATCCATGCCATGTGATTTTTTCAGATTTCGCGTTCAGTGGAAACGCAGGATGCACTTGACCGGCTTTTTGATATTGCGAGCGCAAAACATCACAATTTGGGGTGTGTAATGATTGAGATCAGACACTCACAGGGCTTGCGTGGAGTAAAAGAAAAGGCAACATATCCCTTGGTTAAGAGGCTAATTGTAAATAAAAGGGATATGTTTATTTAAGCTAAATCTCCCACTTTCTACCACTGGTAATACGCCAATGCTTTCGTAATGTGTCGTAGCTACAAAATATTATCAGGAGTGAAATTGTCCTGTGGTCTAAGACTTCTAGAAGAGTTGACCGGCAAACTGTGCCATAATGGTTACGCTGTGCTATAATATATTCCAGCAGATTTAATTTTAATTACGAACTCAGGGGAATGCGTTGTTTTCTAGAAGGAAGTCACTGAAGTGTTCAATTCCATTAAATCATAAGTTTAACATTTCCTCTTCCTTATTTAAAGGTACATTACGTTATAAATTGAGGACCAGTCGTGAGACGTATCGTGTTGGTCTGTTGCGTTGTTAATCATGGACAGTTTTAAGTCAGTTGCCTTTTTTCTAAATAAATGTTCAAACCTATAAATGGTAGGATAACATTATGCATGCATTTCCAGTAGTACTTTAAAAAGATTAGCATAGCTAGTAACATTGTATTGTGAAAACAGGGATTTGCACTATAAATGCTTGGGAAGGAGTTTTAAAATGCAGTGAAAACTGCACAATGATAGGTATATTTTGTTTTTCTGGGATGCTAGGATATATATATATATGCATATGCTCTTCGGGTCAAGTTGGAAGTAAAATGATTTACAAAAAGATCAGGAATGATGATTGTGTTCCTCCCTATTATTATATTTCCCTGAATAGATAAACTGCAGGTCTTCAATCCGTGTGGTTTTCTTTTCAGTGTTGTTCAGTATTGTTGGGAACGGCTGTCTTTAATGTGGAAGTGCCAGAAAAGCTATATCCAGCTGGAGGGGTTGTCTTTTCAATGGAGGGTGTCTCAAGTGAAGCAGAGTTTTAGTTGTGTGTATGATGTGCACAGAAAATTGACTGTAAACAAGTGATAAAGAGTTCACACGTTGCCAGTGGTGTGTGTCACCTCCACAATTAAAGACAAATGACAGCATCTTATCGATATGTCCCAAGGTGGTTGAGTAGAAGCAAGTGATGCCAGAAAGCTATGAATCAGGAAGTCATCAGCATGTTTAAGGTCAGCCTGAGGAAACATGTATGTATCCAGGATAGATGCAAAACGAAATGTCTTAAGGCAGTTGGTTATTGAAGTTACAAAAATATGAAATAATTTGCCTACAAAGCCTTAGTGCTCCCAGGTTAGGGCACAGAGAGTAAAGCCAGGACAGTGCATATGCGCTCCATGTCTGGTACATCTATTACACCTCATGTGTCTGCAAATGAGTGATAAAGGCTAAGTGCTTCTGTAGTTTCTCACAGTGGTAACATGAACATTTCTTGTTTTAGGCAATTAAAATGGCCCATAATATTGGTATGTGATATTTGTGGTGGCCACTTTTTTCCCCCATTATCCTGAAAACCTTTCTGCGGTGTCTTGTGTGTTATCACAAAGCTCACTGCATAATATATTCAAAAGTCAGAAGAACGGGTTAGTTTCTCTTCAGTCTTGTCTCGGAATTGATAAATAGATATCTTTAAACAGCTAACCATCTCTTCAAAAACATAGACGTTGGCAAATGGCATCGTTGTGTTTTCCTCTGTGCTGTTTGGTAGGTTAGGATACAAAGATATGAGAAGTTGGATGTTAGAATTTGTATGACTGGTCGTTGTGTTCATTATGTTTTCATCGTGTTCTCTGTGTTTCTAGTGTAGTTTCAAAATGTCTTTAATTTTGTTTGCTGATGTCTATTGTCCAAAACCGGGAAAACGGAATGCATATTTATTTTTGGTACCTGTTATGATCTACCTGCAAACGATAAATCAGTAAGGACCAAGGTAATGTACAATTACCTTGCATATTTAAAGCATATTTAACAGACTGTTAAGTAACTGCAAAAGTTGTCTGTTTTCTTTTGTGTATTTTGGAGTCAGGAGTCTCTGAACCACTTCAGTGTTAAAAGGCTCAGCTTTTAGGCCTGAGTAATGTGAGATGTTGCAGTAAAGTTGACCAAAACCACAGAAATTAAAATTCGCTGGTTTTTAGACATTTAAGCAACATTTAAGAATCTCTACACCATTTCAATGCATCTCTTTCAGTTTTTGAGAAATTGTATCTACTTTAATTACACTTTATAAGCTATCTTGCTTCTAGGAAATATGGAGAGTGCCAACCTTAGCTAATAGCTGTGGCTTTTCTGCCTTTAAAAGTATCTACATAATTAAAATGTTTTTTTTGGTTACTGGAAAATGTCCTAATTTGAAAGTTTTCCAGTCATTTTTTACCCATTTATTATAAAGTGCCTACTACCATCACAGCATTCCAAGTGTTTCTTCAAAAATGGCTTTCAAACTGAAATCACCAATTCAGTGACACTAACCAGCTTCACATACATTCAATTATTCACTTAATCTGCAAAGTATTAAAGAGATTTAACCTAAAAATGTTGTAACAGTTTCTGAGTATTATGCTAAGATTAGTTTTTGGGCTCAAAACACTCTGCTGACAAGTGTTCCATTTTAGAGTTGCAATTAAAATTAATCTTTACAAATGCTGTATTTTGCTCTTCTTTTTACAGTCAGTTAAATTTTCAAAAGTACCTCACAGCATTGTAAAAAGTAGTTACACAATTGTTACATTGAGTTTTGCCTTCCTAATATTCTCTGTAAGATCTCCCATATTTCATCACATGCAATTAAGAGAGTTATCTTCACATATAGAAACCGAGTCCTTCCTGTTAGCTTAATATATTAAGGTATTTATCTATATTTATGAAATTCTTTCTACAGTTATTCATGTAACATGACTGTACAGAAGCTGTATTTGTGGACAAATAGTGTTATCACCTGAGAAGTCTAATGGAAGCAGTTGCTTATTTTTTATACAGATTTCATCATAGAATGTTACCAATAAATTCCATAGTTGCAAAATAAATGCCTCATTTGGTTTGCTTCCTTGTGACCATTTTGGCTTTTAAATATTTCTTTCCATGTCAGCACAAGAGTATAAGCAACAAAGATGCTGGTCAGCACAACTCTTCAGTGCGACCTCCTAACTTAAAAATGTGTAGTATTGACAATTACCAGGTACATTTCCTTGTCACAAAATATTACTGGACACTTTTCATTCCTGAGGATACCAAAGCACTTTACATTAAGGAGGGCACCACCTTCATCCACCACCTGTGTGACAGCAATATAGAGAACTGAGAAATGACTGTACCTTTTGAAATATGGGGGATGTCGAGGGAAGCCAGAATGTGTTTGGCTGCATCAAACTGTTCACAGTATTTTAAGAGGTCAGTTAATGAAGTGGTATCTTATCCCAGGTGATAAACAGATGTTCAAAGCATAGTGGTTAAATATTTGCTCTAGTGACTGAAAATGGAATGGATATTTTACAAGTCAGCTTTAATACAAAACCATACCAATTGCCTGGTAGTGGTTGTTAGTGCATGAAATAATGTTATTGTCTTAACATGTTAAGTATCAACAAGTTTCAAGATATTGACCACCATGAAAGTATAAAAGATGCATGCTTTCATGATAGTGTTTCTAAGCAAGTTGGTCATATGCTCACCTTTTAAGGAACTGCGCTAGTATCTACAAGAATGTGAAAATTTACACATGAGAGATCTGCCGGGACCCCTTCTTGTTTACTTGCTGGTAGTTCATTGATTTTAGATTCTCAGTGTGCAGTTTCTTTCCTTAGTCCACTAAATAGTTTGTTTCAAACAAATACAACTCTAAATAAAAGGAGCTAGGGGGTTGTTGTGTAAACATTAAATATAACAGTGTCTTCTGCTGCTACACAAGTATTTCACTTGGGGCCAGTGCTCCTGTTTTCTTTTTCTTGTGAAGTAGTGGTTCAGATTGACAGTGTCTGACTTTCTAGATTGTGAATGCGTTAATTGAATTCCCCAGCTCTTGTCTTTGTTCCGAGCTAAAAGAGATTTAGTCCTTTTTGCTTATCTATGTAGGACATAGCTTTCAGTGCTGGAATTATTCTGGTTGCTCTTCTTTGAAGTTTTTTCCAGAGCAGTGACATCCTTTTTGTAGGATGGGGACCAAACTGAGAGACAGTATTCTTAATGGGGTCATGCAAGAGCATTAAACTGTTGTAGTTTGAATTCACCATTCTTTGCTTATTTCAGAACATTTTATATGCCTTTTTTTGCTTACCTTCTGGTTGTTGTCTTTTACTCTTCTTTAATTCCAGGGCTTCACAGAGTAACTGTGCAAAAAGGTTCAGAATTCGAAATATACTTAGTATTCTTAACAATATCCCTTCAGATATTTTACATTGTATTCCTTCATAGGCAGTACATACAGTGTAAGCATATATTATTGTACTTTTGTGACACTGTTCTCTCATCAATACCCCTTTTTCAGAGTATTTTGAGAACATGATTTATAACAATACTTTTTTTCAAGGAATGTCTTTTCGAGGTAGATTGGGAATACTACCGAATACACATTTGTGATAAATT